TTTAGACCAAATGGAGAAAGTTGAAATCAGAGCCGTCATTAAGTACCTCTGTAAGAAAGGGATGTCCCCCAAGGACATGAAGACTTCATGGATACACTTGGGAAGGAGTCCCTTTCCTATAGCACTGTGAAAAAATGGGCTGCTAATTTCAGAGGGGCAGAGAGAGCATTGGAGATGATGAACGGCCTGGGCGGCCAAAAGAGGCCACCAACGATGAAACTGCCGAAGCTGTGCACGATCTGGTCATGTGCGATCGAAGGCGAGACCTGCAAAGCAAACCTAGGGAAGTGGGTATAAGCTTTGGTTCAGTTCAGACATTTCTGACTGATGTCTAAGGCATGTAAAAGGTTTTCGCTAGATGGGTCCCCAGACAGTTGACTGACGACAAGAAACGGACCAGGCTTGGCATTTCAAGATATCTTTTGTCCCGCTACGAGGATAAAACCTGATTTTATCTACCGGATCGTAACTCAGGATGAAACATGGGCAAGATTGTCATACCATGCACGCGCATCCTCAACATTCTGATACCGCGAACACTTTTTCAACCAGTATTTTGAACAAAAACGAGTCATGTAAAGCAATCAGAATAGATTTGAATTTAATTTCTTTTGCATAGAAGATGTACATACTTGTAGTTTTATTATTCCAAACGCCTTGACACAAGTGTTCCCTTTCTTGTCAGTATTTCGCGTTGAATGCGATTTTATTCCGGATACTGCGTACACCCGGCGTTGAAATGTTACAGAAATTGAAAAACTGTCTATTAAACTGAAAGTTTCTCACAACTGGAAGTGAGTTTATTGCAGAATATATATTTCACAAATATATTTTCAATCTTTGTTATTGTTCCTTTGTACGAACAATGTCTTATAACGAACCTTTTTCAGGAAATAGACATTATGATATTGCGTACACTCTCAAAAAATCAAGATACTGCGTACACATTTATATGTTATTGATTCTGCCTACACTTTCTTCGAAGCAGTCTTAGATCATAATATGATCAAATGGATAATACTGGCGAACAAAAAATAAAAAAGTGAATTAAAATAAAAAAAGGATTCAATTCCTGTGTTAAGTGCTTCCTTAAAATGTTTAAACTGTACATCCTAAAAATGGTTTAAGTTTAATATTTTTCATTAAATTGTTTACTCATTTATGTAACACTCTAAACTGATAATTAAAATAATTAACTTTTTATAGTCAAATTTATAGTTCATTGAAAGAAATAGATGTATGTCGATTATATCGCGAATTCTTCTCCAGACAACATGAAGGACGATCGACATCGTTAAGACGGTCCTTACAAATACATTTGAATAGGCTTTTTTCTGAAACATGGGTTTCATCACTTCGATCCAGAATCCAAAAAAACAGAGCATGCAGTGGAAGCACTCGGATCATCCCTCCAAAGAAATTCAACAGGGTGCCATCCGCAGGGAAGATGATGGCTTCAATTTTTGGGATAGTCAGGGGAAATCATTATTGACTATCTTCAGCAGGTCGTTCCAGGAACGGTACGTAATATGCAAACAAATTGAGACGTCTGCGTAAGAAATCGCGCGTAAAAGGAGGGGCAATCTGACTCAAAATGTTGTGCCCCTCACGACAATGCGATGGCTGCTGCCACTGACTGCGGCTTAGAAATTCTTCCCCATCCCCCATGTACTCAAGACATTGCTTCCTCTGACTTCTACCTGTTTACGAAACTGAAAACCAAGCTTCGTTGTCGACGTTTTGGGAGAATGAAGGTGTCATTGAGGCGGCCAATAAGTTCTTTGAGAACCAAAATAGAGAGTTCTTTTTTGAAGGGTTAAACAAGTTGGAGTACAGGTGGGCAGAGTGCATTGATGTAGAGGGCGATTATATTAAAAAGTAAGACCATACGTTCGGTTCTCTGATTACCGGAAGTACATCGGGCTAAGAACTTTTTGATAAATCCTCGTATCTGCTCAAAACTGGTATAAAACTTGATTAAGCAGTTCACGGTTGGGGTTTGTTTGAATATATGTAATTAAAATCATTGACAAGCTTACCTATTTCACAATTATTTCCATACCAACCGGAACAATAACATGAATAGCCCTGCTGGTTACTGATACAAAGTCCACCATTTTTGCACGGACTGCTTGAACAGTGGTCAACCTGTGTTGTTACCTCTGTATTATGACATAACAAGTTATTTATACAGTATAAATCCATATTTAAGTCGAGATTAAGAAATATTTTAATTAAACTTCATTGAAATGTTTCCGCTATAAGAAGTCGTGTCACGCACATGGACCAGGTCTCTAGGTCACAGGTCAGGGTCACTCTTAGAGGTCATTTAAAATGTTTGTCGGGAGCAAAACTTCTACATTCATAGAGGGATTTCAATATAACTTTGGACTAATGTTCACCATAGTGAGGCGGAGTGTCGCGTACTAATTTCGGGTCCTTCCACCATGGGAAACGTCACATATAGAAGTCTAAGATCGGTCAAATAAAAATATAAAGATGTATATATAGGGACCATACAGTCATCATGTGTTTTAACATCATGAGAGGTATTGCTCAATAAATGATTTAGGTATCTAGATAAAAACAAAGTAACACTTAGAGCTAATTGTTCAACAGCTTGTCCGGAGCAAAACATCTACAGTCAAAGGGGAATTTTGATATACTAGTAACTTAGGACGAATATTTACCATTGTAAGCGGAGTGCCGGGCGTGAAATCCGGTCATAGCGATCAAAGTCAAGGTCACACATAGAGGTCAAAGTTCAGATAAAATATGAAAACTGTGTAAGGACCATTCAGTCATTATTAATGGATTGAAACAAAAATGACAAATATCATGACAATGGCTTGGACACATGTAATTTAGGTAAAAATTTGCAAAGTCAAGGTCATTCGAGATGATTAAATAGCCCGATATTGTCCATTGCATACCTCCTTCATACATGGAGGAATGTTATTTTACATTGTTGACCGTAATATGACGCAGTGCCTTTCTTATGAACCAGGTCTCTAGGTCAAGAGTCAAGGTCACTGTAAGGTCTTTAAAAAAACGCTTGTCCCGAGCAAACATCTACATATATTGAGGGTATTTAATTTTTACTTGGCACAATATTTCAAAATTGTCTCGCATAGAATTCAGGTGCCTGCAACCAAGGTCAAGGTCAAACATAGAGCTAAAATGTTCGATAAAAATACGAAAATATGTATAGGGATCTACTTGCTTGCCACACTTCTTATTGCCCATATCTACACATAAAGCTTTTGTGATGGGCGTTATTTTAGTGACAATGTCATCCTTGTTGTATTCATATTATTTATGTTCACAAGGTTAGCTTTTAAAAAAGCTAGTAGCGACTCGCTTCGTAATTTTATTCCAGGGGTGTGTTTAAATGTAAAAATGACAGTTCTGTACCTGAAGAGACTTCAGCGAACATCAAAATAAAAGTGACATATAAAGTTACGGAAGCCAGTTCTCTCAGTTTAACAGAGGGGAATATGAGTATATAATATGAAATTAGGCAAAGCCTACGAACGGGGAAGTCGTTAAAAAATTCCTTTCATTCTTTCCGTTTTAAAATTGTCATTCGGTATTACATGCACCGCTTCCGTTTTCACTCGGAACACTCGACGTTTATTATTTATCCGAAAAGTTGAGATTTGTTTCGTTATCGGAATAACCTGCCTTTTGTCATTGAGTTACATTGTAAATGGCGGCGCCCGACTAGAACTGACACTGAAATATTTCATTGATAGGTATAGAATTCTATATATTTTTTAATTGTTTCTTTTAAATATACACGTGTAGTCTATAGCCGGGCAAGCCAAAGCCCGGACCCGCTTCGCGGGCCCGGTCTTTGACTTCCCCGTATGAAGATGCATGTAAACAGATAGAATGAAGTCCCTATGTCTATGCACATTTACTATATGGCCTGTTGACCTTGACCAAAAAATGTTAGATAGGTAGAATTCATAAAGATGTCTCTTTATACAAAGTTAAGTTGTAATATGTTCTTTAGTATTGGAATGAGTGACAGACACAAGTCCTATACAGGAATATATTACTGAAGAACTCTCTTGGGTGTGGGCGAATTTAGATTCATGGGGCATGATTATTTGATTTGTACAAGTTCTCAAGTCTCGTAAATCCCGGTCAAAATAGACCGGGAGAGACCGGAAGCGACCGGACCGGAGAATAGTATATCCCAGTAAATACGGCTGTGACTAAAAGAAGGATTGGAGCACCACACTAAATACCGTATTCCGGTATATACCGGACAAGGCGCTTGAAAGATAAAATGCTAAAATCTTGTCTTTTTACCCAACGGAATGAACTTTAACAGGTCTAATTCATCTTTTCACACCGAATCAAGTACGATAATCCAGAAAAAATGTAAAATTCGGCGAAAAAAACGATATTTGTCTATTTTGTGATCATGATTTCTGCAAGCGTCTAGAGGTACTGCTCCAATCCTGTATTGAGCTAAATCCAGTAAATACATACACAAAATACCGGAAAGGATAAAATTACCGGAAAAAAAGAAAAAGAAAATATGCACAGAACCAGATGTACACTTATGTTAATTAACCAATTAATTGTTAATTATCTAACGTACTACAGAGAAAATAGGTGAAATCGCTAAATCAAAAGTCAGTGTAAATATGATTTATTGAAAAGAATTCATGAAAACAAATATTTTATCATCATTATGATCTTTGCGCTCAAAGCAATACTTGTTCCTTTTTAAAAATGGCGTGAAAATTGAAGGTTTTTTGACGCTATGTAAGATCAAATTTGATTGGCTTAATTATTTTGGATTCCAGCCAAGACAGATAAATTTTGTAGAAAGCTGGAAGCCAAGCTTAGATTAAATTTTTGGATGGATTCGGAGTTTTAGGTTGTTTCTAAGTAAAATCCTAACGTAATACCGGCTCGCCGTGGCGAGCCGGCATCAGTGATTAACGATTATCAAATAACAAGACTATTATTAAATGTTCTATATATGATTTGTAACCATATCAATTATTCAACACAGTTGATGTCAGTTTGCATATTTGAATGACTGTGTCATTTAATCATGAATATAAACGATCGTTCTATTAACATATTACTTTTTAAATTTGGCACTTATCATGTAGAACGAAAACGTTTTGTAATTTAGTATTTCAACACAAGTCATGTTAATTTGATAAATTAAAAACTTACTGTTTTATTTGAATTGAATTATTGTAACATTATCTTCCCTTTAACTAACATAGAAATAATAGCCATTTAAAGTCTCCGTGATTTTCCAGACCAAAGTCAAAGCATTACACACAATGCTTATTAAAGTAAATTTACGTGTCGCCGAATATACGGATGTACGGCAAAATAAATTGATATTAAAATGTCCTCTTTATCAAAATATATGCAACGAAATATTTTTTTTATTTTCTATAAATGCTACACATGCCACATATTATATTGAATAAAATCATGAATGAATTTCTTGTTATTCAGTTAAACTTCTTTAACATAGAAACATACATACTTGTTGTCCCGTCCAGCTATTTGCGCCATTACATTTGTAGTCACCTAATAAATTTATACACGTTGCGTTCTTTTGACATAAAAGTCTGATTTTATGAGTTATATTTTGTTTTTATCTTCTTTAGTGTACTTTACCATTTCAGTGCAATTATTGGTGTCCGTTAGAATTTCAATATTTTTAGATATTTTTTTTTACATTCGTGGAGTTCCTTTCATTATAAGTTTGTTTTAAATTCGAAAAGTTTTGTAAATAAGGCATCTGACCTGTGTCACATAACGCGCCAGTCCAACCGGACCTACATTTGCAATTATAACCGCCATGCGTGTTGCTACAGGCTGCATTATTTAAACAAGGGTTGACTAAGCATTCATCCACATCTGAAAACATAAATAATAGTTATCACTCATCGTAAAAAAATACAAAAAAGAAAAGATAAGTTAAATGTATATACTTATTTTCAAGCTGAGTCCTTGTAAGAAAGGAGAAATGTGGCTGTGTGTTTTCCACTTATCATCTGAAGGTGACATGCAGCTGCTGACATGTGAGCAAAATTTAAACTCTTATCATATCGCGGTGATCAGATAAATAAAAAGACAATAAATCGCTCGGGGCTAAAATATCATCTGGAGCCACGGGGAATCTTTGCATCACCAGGATTATGACAAATCTCATAAATAATTTATATGTCACATAAGCGCTTTAATTCATATAATTCCTTATGATAAAATTAACTTAAACTTGAAATAATTATGCAGTAGGCGCGAAAGTCTGTAAGCAAAATCTATTCGAAGCAGCTGTAATCTTGACCCTAGTGAACCAAAGTCAGATAGTTTACCTATATCGAATTTTTTATCAGTCAATAAATCAGGGCAGCATGAACTGTGTAAAAATCTAAATGCATCAGAGTAGGAACCTTGATCCAAATAAACTTTTTCTTTCTCTCAAAATGATAGGACCCAACGGAAATTTACCTACTAAATAGCTTTGAAAGATATCAGTTATTAAATTAAAGCTGAATAAGGAAAAGTGTAACAAAATGTAATCAGGTATTAGTGTCTTTTATCGTAGTGTCCTCTTACTCCTCACAAAGTAAAAGCACCATTAACCTTGACCCAAGTGACTCCTATCAACACCTATATTAATAAGACTACCAAAACAATTTCAAAATAAATATGAAAGATCACTGTCAATAAATAAAGACTATTTTAGCAGAGGTAGCACTCCACACTAAATTTCAAATTTCTACCGTCAATGTCCTACAAGCAATATGTCTCATGAATCTGAATCCACAATATTCACTATATCCATTAACTCCTACCTTGCCATTCGAAGCTGTGGCTTCAATTAGTGGTGTGCTGCCAGAAGATGTAACTTGCATGATGAAGAGTTTTACAGGGAGATAATTAAAAAACAAGTTCCTTTGACAATGAACACGTTTCAAAATAATTTCCAGAGATGTAAAGAGGAATATTGCACTTCTTCTCACTAGTTTTTATAATTATGTGGTGTATATATGTTGCAAAAATATCAAAAAGTTTACGAAGCGTTACACACTTACTAAAGCGCTACCTATCTTTAAAGTTTGCTTACCAAATATATGAAATGGAGTCAGAATTGTGACATCTATCCGAAAATTCTATTTTTTTTTTTGATTCCACAAAATTGTTCGAGACATGTTACAAATATCGAAAATAAGCAAATTATGATCCATCTATATCATTTTAGGCCGATGAAACTATTGAGAATATATAAGAATTAAAGATGATTATGAAAACTGATATAAGAGACCGAGTGAAATATAATGGCAATGCAAGTGATAGGTCATTTTGCCCATGTTTATTTCAATGTGTATGGTAAGGGATTCTTTCAAAACTTCTTGAGCAAATGTTTAGCTGGTATGTAAAAAAGTGTCTTTTTTGTGGCCGGTTCTATTCAGAAATTATGCGAGCCTTCGATTTGTTCGTACGAGTATATAACTTACCGGGTACAGAGAAGATATTTATTTACTTTTATGTCACACCTGTTTTCTTCCATATACATCCATTTGCCCCACCCCTAATGAGGCCTCAAATAGTGAAAACAATGCCCTATTCAATCAAACACTTGTATTCGTTTGAGAAATGTTATCAAAAAAGTGAATGTTACAGGGAGATTATTCAAAATTCAAGCAATGTATCATTTGACAATGTACCAACTCTCTATACGTTTCAAAATAATTTCTAGCCGAGCATTATAATTACGTATCATATTGGGAGATTAAAAATAACTATGTAAAGAGGAATATTGCACTTCTTCTCACTAGACTTTATAATTATGTGGAGTTTTAATGATTTTATAGTTTTTGGGCAATGCACTTTCTCTAAAACACTGAATTTTCTCTAACTGGTCCAAGATTTTGTCAAATTACTACAATATGTATCAAGTTATTGTCTAAACAAGTGTGTGACAGAAACACGGACAAAGCTCCGACAATATGATTTCCCTTTCGAAAACATGTAAATACATGTAAATACAACACAAGAGTCACATAAATTTAGCAAAAATATCAGAAAGCTTACGAAGCGTTACACACTAACTGAAACGCTACCTATCTTATTACAAACCTGGGAAAAGCTTGCTCATAAAATATATGTAATGGAGTCAGTATTGTGACAACGATCCAATTTTTATTTTGTTTCCACAAAATTGTTCGAGATATGTTACAAATATCCGATAGGCAAATTATTATCAATCTATACCATTTTAGACCATGAAATTATCGAGAATATATAAGAATTAAAGATGATTATGAAAACTGATTTAAACAGACCGAGTACATACCGTCCACGCAAAGTCGTCCTGTCCATCCTTCACTACAGTTACATTTGAAGGCACCAATTTCGTTTATACAAGTAGCACCATTGTGACACAGAAGCCCTCTAGAGTTAAATATCGCACACTCGTCTAAATCTGGTTCATAAAAAGTATATTTCACAACACAACGCATCTTACATCGTATCTGGTATTGTAGTATAATCATGTGTCACTCTTACAGCAAATGATTTTTTTAGAAAATACCTTTGTGTTAATGTTTTAAACTTCAAATAAGAGAATGAAAATATACACACGATAATGCATTATATATTTATTTAGATATACGGTTATAAGCCTATCAAATAGTCTTCAAAGAAAACACTTATTGTGAAAACTGCATGTACTCGTATGTAACATCGATTATCATTGGTCGACCAATGATATATACATTCATATAAGATGAACTCAACTTGCTTATGCACCAATATAATAAGCTAGATATACAAGTTTAAGTAACATTGTTAGCAGAATATGTAGCTGTATATGTGTAGCATAACATCGGTCACATTTGCCTCGGGTTATATATATCTCAACACACTTTTTGTATCAAAAATTTGTTGGTACTGGTAACTGTTTCAAAATATACATTATTTTATAAATGAATAACTTTCCTATTTAGAATTAACTTGCTGAATTACATAGACTTTTCCAGCCTGTTTTTGCTTGGAACCGCATATTTCCAATTTTCAGACGTCAATATGAAAATTTATAGTAAAACAAGTTTTTACCAGTATCACACATTTGCCCTGTCAAATATGGCGGGCAATTACAGGTGTATCCGTCATTTTTGTTCCAACAGGTTCCACTGTTCTTTCATAGGTTTTTGTAACATTCGCCAAAATCTTTAAAAAATAGGATTGTCCCACTTTTCTTCAGAAAGATGAACTTAAACAGATCATTACAGATTCAGAGGCAGAAAAAAGACATGAAAGTACCTATGTCACAGTTAATTCCGGTCCATCCTGATGTGCATGAGCAGTTATATCCCCCAGGCAAGTTGGAACACGTACCATTATTCTTACATGGATTTGTTAAGCACTCATCTACATCTATATTCAATTATATACAAGAGATTTTGAGTCATAAAATTGTTCGGCTGTAAATCAAATTTCTTTTTCATCAACTAAAATCTGAATCGATCAAGTTTTGCATAAAACACCAACAGTAAAGTCTTGATTAATTTTTTTCATTTACATCTGCAAAATTACTGAAAGTATCCACTTAAAAATTTATACAAGATGTAGGGATAGATATTTTAATCCAAACAGTTACAAAGTTACATAGTGTCAGATAGTTTTTCGTGTATTCTGCTCTCGAAACAGTGTATAGAACCTGGCCATCTCTTGATACTTACATGGAATCTCAAGAAGAGTCAACAAATGATAGTTTGGCTTAATGTTTTTTTTTAATCACAACTTTTGTGTTTATTGCTGTTACCTACTTGCTCATGGACATAATACCAAGAATAATCCAGCTAGTCTTTTCGTCCAGAAAGAAAATATTGATATTGCCATGTTAAAACATGGTGTTGCAATGTTGTGTAATATTTGAAGTGGATAAAAACAAATGCTGTGCCTTATCTGTGTAAATTCCTGGTTAAAGCAGGGGAAAATAATTGAAATTAAAGGTATTTATGTGGTTGATACACCAGTTCATAGGGAACAATTTATATATATACAAAGTAGAAGTGTCTAAATAATTGATAAATGAAATTTGCCCACGTTTCCCTGCTGTACAGATGTTGTATCAAATATGGCTAGTCTTTGTCGTGTTGGGGTTGCGTTCATTGAACGCCGCGTTTCCGTACAATATTTTAGGAAGTCTATCTTTATTGTCTTATGATGAAAGAAAAGAATATGTTGTTTTATAATCATTCGCAGAGTACTACAGTGCCAGCAGGAAACAAGAAAATTCTACAACTGATGATTTCATCAATGCAAAAGAAGCTCTTTCTAAATGGACACCGTGTAAGAACCATGCTGCTCAGCAGAATTATCGACATGGAAACTCCACTAATCATCCTGATAGTTTTCCAAACTTGATAAGAATTACATGGTAGCTGTTATTGCTCCTCTCCAAGCAACTACTATAGAAGGGGTATTCGGCATTCATATGACACTATCTGGAGAAAGGCCTTTTGGATTTTTGGATTAATGCAAATATCACTTGGACCTGCTGTGGAACATGTTGACTTTCATAAAGCATTGTGCAAGTGAAAGTCCGCCCATACAAACCAATTAGAAATTGTCAAATAAAGCAGACATAATAGCTCCGTACTTAAACATACTGAATTTTTTTTTTAAAAAAGCAAAAAAAAAAAAAATAAATAAATAAAAAAAATCAAGATCAACAAGGAAGGGCGACATTCAATGAACGTAACCCCCACACGAACCAGCAACATAGGACCACTTGGAAGGAGCCAAGCAAGACACCAAACAAATACAGAACAGGACACAAGGACCTGTTTAGTGCCATTACATTATTTCTCCTTTGTTTTTCTTGTTGTTAGACAAGTTCTTATTTAGTAAAAACCATTTCTTTGACAAGAATGGAGAATTTGCTTTAAAATCAATAAAGATGTCGTTTAACCATCTTTCATTTGATATGTAAATGCGTTTAAACGAAAAGTGTTTGAACGAAATATTATGTTAGCAATGGACGTAAAAGTGTAAAATGCCACTACTTAGTGATTACCAGTCTGACTTTGTGTTCCTTTCCATTCACCGCCACATGTGCAAGTAAATGGAGTATTTAAGTCCATTTTTCAATAAGAAAAGAATGCAAATCATATCTTTTAATGATGATATTTAATTTGAACAAATATGTGCAGTATGAATTCTACCTATTCTTCGATGTTAGAAAAATGGCTTAGAAGCATAATTATATATATATATATATATATATACTATATGTATATTTTGATACTATACAGTACACACGTATTGAAGATTTTGTGCTCGATTGTGTGCACATTATACATGTAATACACCCCTGATGAAGGCATAATACGCCGAAAGTACTTGGGTATTTATACTTTAGCACTGTATGAACGTTTATTTTCTCCAAATTTATTGTTTTTTTCCACGTTCTTGTATCCTTCTTTGGATCCAGTGTTTTTGAAAGGTATTTTGTAGATGCAAATATTTTTCACAAAACCTATATATATATATATATATATATATATATATATTATATATATATATATATATTGTATATATATATATATATATATATATATATATATATACTACATATAAATTTTTAAGTGTGGGTAACAAATCTTAATTACAGGATCTTTAATATAATTATATATAAATGAAAATCTAATAGATATTTTGATTTATATATTTATTATAAAGGGTAACATTTGTGTTCTACAGTCATTTTAAACCCAGTGAAAAGCTTTTAAAGTTTGAAACTTTGCTATACAACGCACTGATTGAAATACATGTATATATGGAATGATTAACATACCACAAGCTTGTACACCTACCCGAAAGTTTTTCCAAAAGCATAAAGACAACATTTGTTTACGTTTTACATTTGATATATAACAAAGCTTTAACTTTTTTATTCCCTTGTTGCACCCATTTTGCTTTATTTTTGCAGAAGTACAGGGTGTTTATTTTGCTAAAAGGGTTATTAGATTCAACGCAAAATGTCACGTTTCAATGATATATGGGATAATTTTAATATGCTTTTAATACTTAAGATGTAAACTATTTTCCTCCTTTTTTTACGAAGATTTAGTCAAAATAACATTTTTTCAAACGATGGCAATCATCAATCAATTATTTGCCAGAATTATCTTTAGTTATTATATTTAACTTGAACTGTATTTGAACCTGTGGAATATCTAAATGAAACTTTTAGTGACAAATTATTGAAATTGTTCGCGTCCCATAGGTTAAGCAGTCATACTCTGGCTACTCAACATGGCCGTTATCGAGGTATAGATGGACAGGATAGACTGTGTGAAAACTGTACATTGCATGTCGTATAAAGTGAGTATCATCTTTTTTCATTCCGTACACATTGTTATGAAATTTGTTAGAAATATTTACAAAACACTGCAAGGGCATTTTGCCTAAATAACAGTATAATGTAAGTATAATAAAAATCAAATTTACTGAATGTAATCGAACTATGTAAATAAAGCATTTTTGTTCCCCGTCCTTTCAAAGAAAAAAACGTTGGATGTAGAAATAGGCTCCTTTTGCCTGTCCTTCCGTCCGGGCAAACATAAAAGGTCTATTAGCTTCATTCCGTCCATTACCTTAGTTAAACAAGAACCGGTTGAACCGGGTGATGCTCCCCGAGAAGGTATTGGACACAGGAAAGTATAAAAAAATGAACAAAGGGCAAAAACTCCAAAATTAGGCAAGGCGGAGTTATGTTTGTTTTGCACTGCACTTCTTTTCAATGAGATCTATCTATCTATAAAGTTTCCTCATGATATCTTATAGTTTCAGAGTTATGTCATGGGTAAAATTCAAAGTGTAAAAATGAACAAAGGGCAATAACCCCAAAATTAGACAAGGCTTTGTTTAGGTTCTTTAAGCAGTGAAGTTCTATCCAAAAATATCTATCTACCTACAAAGTTTCATGTTGATATCTCTAATAGTTTTCGAGTTATGTCCCGGACAAAAGCAAAAATAGTAAAAATAAACAAAGGGCAATAACTTCAAGATTAAGGCAAGGCAGAGTTATGATTCTTTAGCACTGCACTTTTACCCATTGAGACCTATCTATCTACAAAGTTTCATGTTGATATCTCTAATAGTTTTAGAGTTATGTCCCGAACAAAAGTAAAAAAGTAAAAATAAACAAAGGGCAATAACTTCAAAATAAGGCAGTGCAGAATTATGATTCTTTAGCACTGCACTTTTACCCAATGAGACCTATATATCTACAAAGTTTCATGTTGATATCTCTGATAGTTTTAGAGTAATGTTCCGGACAAAGTTCAAAGTGTCAATATGAACAAATGGCAATAACACCAAAAGAAGGCAGAGCAGAGTTACGGTTCTTGTGCACTCCACACCTAATAAATGATATCTATCTACCTACAAAGTTTCATGTTGATACCTCTTATAGTTTTAGAGTTTTGTCCCGGACAAAGTTCAAAGTGTAAAAATAAACAAATGGAAATAATTCAAAAATTAGGCAGGGCAAAGTTACGGTTCTTAAGCACTGCACACCTGCTCAATGAGTTCTATCTACCTACAAAGTTTCATGTTGATACTTCTTATAATTTTAGAGTTATGTCCAGGACAAAGTTCAAAGTGTTAAAATAAACAAAGGAGAATAATTCAAAAATAAGGCAAGACAGAGTTACTGTTCTTATGCAATGCATACCTACTTAATGAGATCTATCAACCTACAAAGTTTCATGTTGATACCTCTTGTTGTTTAAAAGCTATGTCCCGGACAAGAAAAGCGGACGGACGGACGGACAAGGCGGCGACTATATGCTCCTCCGAAAATTTTCGGGAGCATTAAAATGAAGGAAATCCCATAAGCTTACAGGTTAAGTGGTAATTGAACTGGTTTATGTAAAAAATTGCCACATAAAAATAAAATACACATAAACAAAATGTTGGCATGTCCGTCTGTCCGTCACAATTTCGTGTTCAGTCCATAACTATGGCATTTATCAAAGGAATTTGAAAATAACTTGGGACAAATGTTTGTTATAATAAGACAATGTGTCATGCGCAAGAACCGAACCCCTACCTCCAAGGCCAAAGTGAAACTTGTTGATAACAGGCCAACATTGTCTATTTAAGGGTGTATGTCGTGTCCGGACCATACTTTGCTTATCCATGATATTGAAAGTACTTGGCACAAATGTTATCAATAATGAGACAATGTCTCATGCGCTAACACCAGTCGCTTGACTCTAAGGTTAAGGTCACAGTTGAAGGCCAAAGATTAACATAGTCTGTTATAGGTTATATTTTGTTGTCTAGTGCATAACTTTCTCATCACTCAAGGAATTTTGAAAAACCTTGTCATAAATGTTGACAATAAAAGACGATGTGTCATGCACAAAACCAAGACCATTTTCTCCAATGTCAAGGCCACATTTAGAGAACAAAGGTTAACATGATATTTCATAGGGTATACTTTGTGTGCAGTCCAAAATATTTTTTAAAACTTTTAACGGATTTTGAAAGAACTTTGCACACATGTTCACAATACTGGAACCAATTGTCATATGCCTACCTTCAATGTCAAGATCACACTTGAGTTCCAAAGCTTAAAATGGTCTGTTCTAGGGAATATTTTGTGTGTGGTATATAATTTTTTTTATCATTCAAGGGATTTTAAAATTACTCGGCACAAATGTAAACAATAATGAGACGACATGTCATGCGAAACACCTACACCCATACCTCAAAGCTCAAGGTCACACTTGGAGTTCAAAGCCTAAATAAGTCTGTTACAGGGTATGATGCCAAGTCAAAACCATGCAAAAAATGTCATAAGTGAAATGCCCACATACCTTGATTGATGACTGGACACGAAATATACCCTGTTACAGACCATATCCTATATTGATTTTGTACTTGCCACATTTTGTTACTTTGAAATAGTGATAAAAGTACACAAATGTATTTCACAGGAATTATTTCATTATATTTCTTTAATGAATTTATTGTTACTGAAATGTACAGATCTAGCATTGATAAAAAATTTGCACTGAAAGTCAGATCCATACCTCAATCGTTTGAAATAGCATAATTGTGTGTTTCATGTAAAATTACAATGGCGTCTGTTACAAAATCTTGAAATTTGATAAATGTGTAATTATATACATGTCCTATTTTTGCTGTTTTTTCTAATTAGAATATTATAGTTCCGTTTTTATGCCATTTGATGCATGTGTGATTTGTATTTTTTGTAGCTTGTCAGGCTTTGCTAAAGAAATTTTATACGCTAATATTGCAACTTTATATCAAATTGCATTGAAATGAATTAATATTTTAAGTAATGGTCTCCTGATGATTTAATGCTGAAAATATTTGAAAATTTAATCATCATAAAATAAATATATTTAGACGTCTTAAAGATATACAATGCTTACATTTATCATGTTAAAAAATATTGATAATTGCTAGACAGTCTCTAACTAAATACACAATGAACATATTTTGACTATACACAAAGTTAATATGCAATGTTTTAACTCTATACATTATAGGTGGTCACAATATGAATATAAAGTACCAACTTTGACTGACCAATGCAGTCTCCTACACATAATTCTTTATTCAAATAAGATTATAGATTTTAATAATTTTCTGTGACACAAGGATAAGCATAGTATATCTTTACGTTACATTTTGTTAAATAGTTGAAATTTATTTTTGATTTTAGTTTTCACAAATGCATGTTATGGCATATATATACGCCATATTGCAACGTTGCTAAATGTTCGTGAAATTGGCGCCCTGAGAGCCTCGTGGCCTGAAATAATTCATAAAGTAGCGGCGTAATGACCTTAAATAGGTGATTTATGCAAAACTGACTTTATAAAAAGTTATGTTTTTCTATAGCATGTCCACAGAAATTGATTATTAAGCAATTCAGTATTTCTAGTATATGTCATAAATTTTAGGCTGTTAAGCTACAAGGCTATTAGATTGGAATGCAAAGATCTTATTATAACATATATATTTATACCGGAAACCATTTTTCTTTTTTAAGAAACAGTGACATTGCTCTTGACCTTAGGGGATCCATAAGCAGTTCCAAGCAAGGTTTCTACATAAGCTTGCTGTATACCAAATTTGTAAAAACGATTTCATTCCTAATTCAAGATATTGACCAGAAACCGTTTTCAATTTTCGTTTCAGTGACCTTGACCTCATACTTATGGAACCAAAAACAAAAAATCCCAAGATATAATTCAACTCAGACAAATATTATGTATCAAATATATTTTACCTATACAAATTATGTATAAATATCGTATCCAAAAGCATAGTCTCTTGCTTTTCAAAAAGTTTTCGTAGGGTAACAATGGCAGTTGAAACCATTTAACACGTTGATTTGCACTAATCAATATCTGACCCGCAAATTTCAGAAAGTCTTAACAAATATTTTTGATAAAGATAATGTAAATGAAATAGTTACCAATCTCGCAAAGTGTACCGCTCCAACCAGCAAGGCAAATGCATTGAAAGTGACCATCGGTATTATTACAAGTCGCACCATTTTGACAAAGATGAAACTGTTTACACTCGTCTATGTCTGTGTTGATAAATATAGTGTTTGCTCACATGTTAATGAAAAAGGACAAATGAAAATATGTTCAAAAGCTTCATATGCAACATGCTCTTCCGTTAGCTGTTGAGAATGATTTATTTATCTGCTGTATTTGGCTGACACGTCATTAAACTTATACACAAGAGTCAGTTACAACGTATTATAAACAAATAATTTATCTAGTAATTTAATACTCACAATATTTTACTGACACTTTTTTATGTAATTAATTTAGATTTAATTTGACATACTAATTTTTAATCAACTCAGCACTTTTTAAA